CCTGCTGATCCCCTTGTGCCATCTTTGAAAGAGCGTGAGTGAAGAGACACAGGTAGTCAAGGGAGACAAAGGACAAAGTATAAAAGAGTGTCCTTGATTCCCTATTACCTTTTTTTTTTTTGCATCCAAGACCAGCCTACATGTAATTAGTGAATGTTCAGAGGAAAGTACTCCTGGGAGCATTCAGTAGTATGAACAGCTGTATAGTTAATTTCTGGAGACAAAGTTGTTTTTCTTACTCATGAGCATCATTCTCTGACACTTGTGCTTGTATTTGGTCGTATTTGTGCCCCTTTAACTCAGAGAAGCCCCTGCTGGTGGCAGGCACTCCACCCCTTTATACATACTTGCATGGTATAAGCTTACCTATGTGCTTGTGGAATTTTTTTCCAAGATTTGGCATTTGCAGTTCAAATGCCCAGCTTGAAAATACAAACGTACACCTCCCAGAACTACTTTCACTGGGAGGTAATGTTCATGGTATTCTTTCTTCTCTTAGATGGATCAAACATATATACTTTGTCCATAGCAAAGTATGCTATGTATAAATCAGCATTGTCCCCAGCCACTATGGAATGATGGTTCCTCCTGATATATATTATTTATTACCCCTAATAAAAGAAACACACAGGTGAGGAAAGTTCATATATCCTGTCAATCAAAGAGCTAAAAAATGATGCAGTTTATGAAACACAACAATAACAAATGAAAATACTGAACTTCGAGTTGTGATAAAAACCTCTTGTAACTGTATTTTCTTTTGCAGGTATGGCCTCTGACTGACTTTGGATTTCTACGTGCAAGCCCCAATGGCCATAGATTTCTTGATGATTAAAAGATTTAAGTGACTATTGCCAGCTTTCATAATATTTTCTACTAAAATCAATGGAACTATTTTTGTTTAGAATAAACACAAGTATTACTTGACAAAGATGCCTCTTTCTGAGATTACATCTAACTTGAAAGTGGGAATGATATACTGCTGTCATGAACAAAAATGATATGCCTCTTACTCTATTTCCTCTGGCTATTCACAGTAAGTGCTTGGATTTATTAGAAAGTTTTGGTTTTTACTACAAGCCAAGGTTAGCACTGACTGTTAACAAGGGATGAAAAAGGCACAATGCACTATTATATTGTCACACATCCAGAGCCACATTTAAGCTATGCCTACATTAGCAAGTTGTGTGACATGCTAGAATTGGAACTGAAAACAGTAACAGTGGGCTTCTGCCACTCTTGTGATCTGCCAGTCACTTACAGATCTTGTGTAGGGTTTTCCTTAAATTGGTTCTGGTTTGGGCCTGTGGACCATATGGGGTCAGAGCACAGTGTCCGCTAAGGAATGAAGATTGCATTTGTTCAGGTGATGGAGAGAGTTGGTTCAAAAGCATGCTTGTGCTCCAAGCCAAAAAGTTAATGTGGATGCAGTGCTGCAGTCCAGTACAGAGTTACTAGACTTGCTCCCAGCCTGTTTGATCTGCAAGTCTCTGCCACCTCTTTCCAAGGCTCAAGTCCTTGTGAGGATTTAATGAAGCTAAATATTTAGCATAGAAAATGTGCCCATTTCCCATTAATGCACCTTACTCTTCTTTATCTTCAAGGCAGTCTCACATGTATGCTTCCTGATTAAATTTTGTCATCTGAGCTGTTAAAAGGATTTAACCTAAGAGGTAGAGCCCAAGGTATAGTTGATACAGACTGAGATTGAAAGAAGCTACTCTGTTTTTTGCTGGGAAAGAAATGTTATTTAGATCATGAGATATGTTCCAGTTGTACAGACCATAGTGTTCTGTTCTGGAAGTTTTTAATAACTAGCTCTTTAGCTGCAGAAGGAAAAAACCAAGCCTCACATCTGCAGAGCTACGTGAACAAATGGGCACATTGCCTTTCTTAACTTGTTCCTGTAGTACCCCCGTTTTCTTTAACATACATGTCTTAGCAGATGCTGTCCCATGTTTGTCCAGTCTTTTTAAAAGTTTGTAACTCTTAATGTGCTTGATTGTTTCAATCATTGAAGGATCTCAATAACAAGTGAACACGTGTCACAACAAACCAAAGATATGTCTTTGGTTTCACTCCTGAAGACAGTGTAATTCCCACCACATCGGCACGAGAGAGTGTAACATTGTTCATCTGCCAAAAAAGAAAACAAACAAGCCTTTAGTGCTTGAGAAGAATCAAGATTTTGGATTTTCTTTGCAAAGCTGCTCTTACACAAAAATTATGCTTTGTTATTGTGACCTCCCGCTGCTGGATTGTGAATATCTGTACCTGTGCTACCATTTGTTGCTCAAAAACCAACTATACTCTTAAAATGCATTCCAGTGACTGCGAGGCATTCTTATGCCAAACAGCCAGGGTCAGCGTAGTCTCTTTAAAAGAGCAGATAATAAAAAGGTGCACATCAGTGAAACAGATGTGTGCTAAAATGACTACAGCACTGAGTATTTCTGAATGCGGACTTGATTCTGACAAAGTACCAAGATCTTTGGAGAGCAATTAAGAACAAACTAAGGGGTATTAGTTACACATATGACAGAGCAAGGATGGTTCCAAACCAGACTGCTAACCCAGAAAACAAACATAAAATAGAAGAAAGGAAAGTAGGTAGGATTTTCCAACCCCACCTTAAAAAAAACAAATAAACCACAATACAGTAAAAAATAAGCAGCCATTCATCAAAAAACCAGTAAGTGATAAAAGCTAGAATAATATGGAGGAGAGAAGTAACACACTGTCAGATGACAAAAATCTGTAGGAAAACACCTGTATTCTACCATCACAGAAAGAACAAGATGATGCATGAGAGATTTGAGGAGAATCTGGAAATCTAAATCCTCAGTTATACTGCAAGAAGAGAGCCAGGTGAAAAGTGGTACTGCAAGCTCTCCATGCCCAAGCAGGGCAGAGGGAAGAGATGAAGAGGGAATGCAAAATTAAGTATCACAGAAAGTTCAGTTCCAATTGAGGTATCGCAGAGAACAGAACAGCTAAATATGAGGAAAATACAAAAAAGCAGAACTTAGTCTAAGACAACAAAATGGCATAAGATACAGAAAAAATACAAAACATTTGCAGTGACAATGAAAGGCATTGGGAACAAGTAGTAAGGCACTCATACCTTCATTCCAGGACATATCCTCAAGATAAATTTGGGCATGTAGCGGCCACTCTTTTGTCAGATTATCTTCTATAAAGAAAACATGACAGATGTTCAATCCTGATAACATACAGGTCCTGATTTCTTCCTAAGTTAATAGTTTCATATACCTAGCAGTCAGTCTGGTCCCTACTAGAGAGGCATACCTAGACCATGTTACCGGTTAAAAATGCAGTTGTCTCAAACTTTAGTTTCCATATTTGTATAAGCTGGGAAATGTCCTACTGGAGCCAGGAGAAATACATGGTGAAGACGTATTACTGAAATTAAGACACTACTGAAACCAGTACTTTTGCACATCCCAATTTTGTTTTGATACGAATACCTTTTAAAAGCCTGGCTGTAACTACAGTTCCACAAGCTGAAGTTGTGACTGGCTGCTTACCTGTACTTTTCACAAAATCATGGAATGGTTGAGATAAGACAGGACCTCTCAAGACCACCTAGTCCAACCCTCCTGCATGAGCAAAGTCAGCCCAGGACCACATCCAGTCAGATTTGAAGTATCTCCACAGATGGAGACCCTTAGGCAACCCATTCTCCTTTAGAAAGGAGAAGCCAAATAAAATCCCTCCAATAAGCATCAAGTAAATGTTAGGGGCGTGTGAGAAGAGCACCGAGATTCTCACGAAAAAGTATTCCTAATGAAATAAATGAAAAACACTTTTAGAGGAAGACTAGTCCAAGTGTTCTTCTATGATAAAGAGCCTCTCAACGCAGAAAGGAGGTCAGTTCTGGCCTGCACCCCCGCGATCTGTTGCCATTTGATCCCTCAGATTCTTCCAACGCTGAGTTCAGCATAAAATGAAAATTGTACAATACAACTGGAATTACCAAATGCAAACTGTGCCATACAAATAGAAATTATTTTTTGCAATTTCTCAGCACACTCATATTTGATGTACAAAGTTCACATCAAGTTCTTTAACTTGGCAATATAAGATTTTGGCAACACGGTTACAAGTGAAGCCATAAAAGGTAATATAAAAAAGGACACAACTCCCTTAGAACTTACTACAGAAAACCTCCCAGCTGCTGCCTGTCACCTGGAAGCTCCAACTCCCCAAATGCTGTATTTTTAAGAACCAGAAATGCCTGAAAGCTGATCTTTAGCACATACACAAAAATGCCTTAGACTTGCCAAGACTCAGGAGCTTAGTGCTTATTTAAGGTTTAAATTGGGTTGTTATTGAGAAAGTAGGTGTTCCTTCTCTTGGATCAGTGAGTTTTTAAACAAGTTTTATAGTTCAATAACATGAAGGTTTCTAGAGCATATAGTGTTGTCTGCGGCTTTCTATGAAAAGTTGTCTGTGAAAGAATTTCTTATTCCAAAACTACTTATTGAGCACTTGCTGAAAAAAAGTCAGAGGCCCAGATTATTTTACATTATTTTAATTCCCAAGAGGTTGCCCTGCCAAATCACTAGATCGTAGGGTATTCTAAATGGTCCCCAGCTTCTTCTGTGTAACTGGGCTGTGCTCTGGACTGAGAAGTAGAAAGAAGGGACAATTCTGTAACTGAGAACAGTGTGAAAAAGTCCTTCCTATTGCACCTGGTTTTTTTAATACTTGGAAGAAAAATTCACAAAGGAAAATGGTCTCTTAGGTTGTAGGAAGAACAGGTTTTCCTAAACTTCATTTATCAGTACTGAAACATTTGGTTAAAAAGAAACCAGACTTTCCTATTTGGAATTAATGAAGCAGGATTTCACTCAGGGCAAGTTTTACAGGACCGGAGGTGGAGGTCTGGGTCATGTCTTGCTGGTAGAAAATACAAAAAGGGCAGATGGACCACATGCCACCACAAAGAGAACTGGTGAGATGCAAATTCACGAGATTGCCATATTTCCTGAAGTAAAGTTACTTGTGAAGCAACGAAGAAGGTGGCTAAGAAAAAGTCTATCCTCTCTTCAGTTCCAAACATAGTACAATATGAAGCTCAGGAATTTCAACCAAACTTTTCTAATTCATTACTGCTATTGTAATTTTAAAAATAAAAATTGTAAAAACTCAACAGGCAAAATTAATCACTCGTACAATTCCCAGCCTAAGCAGAAATCGTTATTCCTAGGCTGATGCTCAAGTCTGAGAGCATCTTACTGGTTATCTCAAAAGATGTAAATTTTCAATTAGTATTCTCGACTTGAGTAAGTCTCCAAGCTTAGCACATAATCCAGTAACCACCAGTCAGTTTTGTATGCTGCATTTATTTGCTTATCTGGTTCAAGCACGAGAAACTTATTTTCCAGAGTCGAACAAAGCTTTTTTATTTTCCAGTTCTCCTATTAAATACACTACTCAATCTAACATACCTTAAGACAGCAGAAACCGATTTAGCCACTGACTGAAAAACAGAGGCACAGCCCAGTATGAGTTTGGGGAGCTTACAAGCAAAACTACAAACCTAATGGTTTTCACAGAGTGTGTTAGTGACTCTAACATTTCTTGTGCTCTTCCTTATTTAATCTACATCATTATTATTACAGCCATGACTCTCTCGTTAGTGGTCCTCTGAAGTAAACCAGTGTCTGATTGTCACTCCCTTCCCAGAGAAGGTTATTTAAGACTGGTATTGTTACCAGTACTGAGTTCTGTGGTAGACTTACTTATATGCGACATCTGCTCAAGCCATAGAACTCTGTGTACAACCAATTGTACTTTCTGAAACATGTT